TCCACGACGAATGGGAGGTCGGGATCTGGATGGACTAGGAGTGGGTCGCTAGTGAAGGCTCTCTTGAGGGAGGAGAAAGCTTCCAAGGCCGCGGGTGTCCAGGACAGAGACTTGGGTTTTCCTCGGAGTAGGTTGGTGAGGGGGCTGGTGATCCTGCTGTAGTCTAGAATGAAGCGACGGTAGAAGTTGGCAAATCCGAGGAATCATTGGAGCTCCTTGATAGTAGTGGGTTCTGGCCAGGAGGTTATGGCTTCCACCTTCCCCTCGTCCATCTGGATACCGGTACGATCAATGTTATATCCCAGGAATTGTACCGTGGGTTGGTGGAAGTGTAGGCAGGAGGAGCACACACCTCAGCGATCCGTGAACAAGGAGGAACAGGAGACACTTGGAGACGAGGAGACACTAGGAGGAACACAGGAGGTAAGTAATGCAGGAAGTATTCAAATGGAAGTAGTAGCAAAGTCATTGAGTCCTCTACGTGTATACGAGACCGGACAGTGAGGGTGTCTGAGGTGTGTGCTTTTATGCAGGCTGGTTAAGGAGGTGCTTGATTAGTGACAGGTGCTGGTGCTCAGAACTCAGGTGAGAGGGATCGTTGTGATTGGGTGGTGGTGGAGCCTGGCCGATCTGTTACAGAGGGACACTGTGATGGACTTTGGATTGGCCTGAGGCAGTGGGACTCTGGAAGGTTAAGTCCTTCTTCCATTGCGGTCTGAAGATGAGTCATGCCAGAAGCCTGCAGTACAGCAACAGAAGTACAGAAAAATGTAATTTCCCTTGTTACTTGTGTGCTGAAACTGCAATACTGTGAGGAGCACTGTTTTGTGAAGTAAACACATGCACAGTAAGTATGTTTTGTCATTGATTTTTTCAATGATAGTGGAGACTTTCAGTCTTTTTCCACTCAGAGATGAATTATGCATTGGAAGATTTAGGCCTCTCCAGTTTTCAACAGCTTCTTAATATGTTGGATGGATGTTTGTGACAATATCACACTTCCCAGAACAGGAAGCATCCATTTCTGGTTTACCATCTACACTGCAAGTTGTGTTGGGTAGTGGATTGGCTTCTTTGACAAGTTCTTTGAATTTGCATGTTGCCTTCAATGAAGGACAGATGTCAAGCAATGCATCGATCCACCCAAATCTGCAAGTTTTCATGCTTGAAAAGGCCACATTTAATGTTTTTGAACTCTGCTTCAACATTGGCTGAACTTGCGATGATGTTGGTGCTTCGGAAGTGAGGGATCATTACCCCTATCCAGAGTGGTAAGTAACTTGCAAGCCAGATTATATTGGGAATAATCTCATGGATGAAGTGTATATTATCATGATCTACGTTAGCCACTGCAAGTGACCTGCTTTCCTCACATATTTCTGTCACCTACTGCCGTAGGCCTGTCTGTTTGGTCACATGGATCTGCTTTTTACAGGTCCTCACCCTCTACATCTGGAATGATGACACACTCTTCTTCAGTTCAGGCTTTCAGGCATTTCTTGCACCTTTCTGATATTAGGGGGACTCCAGAGCTGTCAGTGCCCTCTGCTTCACAGAGCTCTCTAGCATAGTCCATGGATTGTGAAGCTGTGCCATTGACCTCACAAAGAAATCTTTAATGCAATGTTTTTTTTTTCTTCAAGCAGTCCCACTGGCAGATCATGGCTTTGCCCAAAACCATGATGTTTCTACCTTACACTTTTGTGGGATTGAAAGGGTTAATATGCCAACTAGAGGGGGAGATATCGAATTACTCTTACAGTGACATGAGCTGTTTTAGATTTTTACTCTTCAGACTTTATCTCTTTTAGGCATGAACGATGAAGCACTATTTAATGTGATGTTTTTTTTTTTTTGATTGATGTTAATTATGTACCCAGTGTGGGTTATTACTAAGCGATGGTCCTTTGCAGTGATTGGTCATCATTTTTTAACAATGTGTTTTAAATTGTAATTTCATGTTTGAAGATACCTGATGAAGGTCATGCGACCGAAACGTTGTTATTAAACTTTTTTTTATACTTTTGCACTAATTGACAATGTGCAGGAATTGTTTTATTTTTCCTTAACACCTGCAGTGACAAAATAGGATCCTTGTTGCCTAATTCTATGGCATTTCTCTCTTGCTTTGCTTTGTGAAGGGTGGCCAAATTAGGCAGATGGCTTGGCTCAGGATCTCCAAAATCAATCAGCTTTGTTGCCTCCGATGCCCTCCATACATGGGGTTCCTTTCTACCCTCACACAGTTCTTTGGATATCTGCACACACAAGTTACCAGATATTGGACGCTTGGAACAGCCAGTGTGCAGGGAGTCATCATTGTTTTTAATTAAACACTTTATCACCATTGGGCTGTTCATTTCAGACTCTCTGTCACATTTTATGTGAATGTGGCCACAACACTCATTACGCTGATGGACAGACCTTGGCTCTTTTAAAGACAAATGTGCAGGGACTTTTCACTTCTTGACAAATGTGATGATTTATCACATGCGTCCAGATGCCAGGCTTCAAAATTGTGTATTCCCTTTTTTGTGTTTTAGAGAACTTGTTTTTGTATTTAACTGTTTCTGGCATGAATTCAATCCATTTCTGAAATGGAACTTCAACATCAAAAGTCCAGCAATCTTTTGGTCTGGGGGAAAGGGAACCAGGCTCACAATCAGTGTCATCATTACTGCCACTGTTTTCATGATCACTTGGATAAGTAAATCCTAAAACTGTCCAGATATTGTGTCTGTTTAATTTAACAAAAGTGTATAGAGCCTTTGCAGTGATCTTGTTTTCTAGCTGCTCTATCCAGATGTTCTGATTATGAGTAGCTATGTTACCATTTTGGACTATGGCCTCTTTTGATGAACACAGGACTGTGAAAAGCGGTGGAGGGGGAGAGGTTCTCGCCCGGGGCCTGGCTCGTGTCTTCCACTACTGGTGCACCCAGGGTCCGTGGTGTCCCGGTGCCGGAGTGAAGGAGACTTGGGAAGATCACGTCCTGGGTGCATGGGACCTGTGCAGAGAAACACACGGAGTAGAGGTGGTTGGGAGTGTTAGCAGCGCTCTGTATACATACCCCGGACTTGTGAGCGTCAGCCTGGGATGTTTCCAGCTCTCCGCTCTCGCAGCTGGGCCTGCTTCTCCACCAGGTCGCGAATCTGCTTTTCCACGGCCTCCAGCTCACCTGCACTCAAAGGTAGACACAAATCCGCCATTTAAAGCAAATAACAGTGAGTAAAAGAATGGAGTGTAAGCAATGTAAGCAAGACTAGTGGCAACCAGCGATGCTAACGGGTTATAAGCTAGTAGCGGACTCGGCAAATCAAAATAAAACTAGTGATAACAAGGTGCTCCGATTGTTTTTGTTGTAGAATACAATGGGGGAAGTGCACTCACTTGCTCTTAAAATACTCCATAATTTTTGGTCATACAGATAAGAGTAATATATCTTTCAAATCTGTAAAGACTCTACGTTTATTTGTGTGCACTCACAATAACAACGAAACGCGCTTTTGTAAAATAATGAAAGCAAACAGGATGCGCTTTCTGCCGTCTCGGTAACTTGAGCGCTTACAGACATTAAAATATATCTGTAGAGAGTGAAATGTATACTTTTAAATGAACCAATTCAAATGGAAACCAAATATTCTCAAATTATGTAATCCGTGTGAAACATGCACACAGGCGCATCACTACTGCATATATGATGAGTCGGTGTCGCCGAGTTCATCTCTTAAACCAAAACAAAGAAAGCACTTGTTTATCAGTGAATTATTAAAATGTTAATGCAGCCTCTTTACTGTTTTTCCCTGACACATTCATAATCATAGCTTATGCGGTGCGCTATGGCAAGCTTTATGTGTGTGCTTGAGCGCTTATTAGGCTTTGTAGGAATTAAAGGCTCATTATAATGATTTAAATGGTTTATTAATAAATGTGCGATTAGTCGACTAATGCTTAAAATGAACGACTACTAGTCGACCAGAAAAATCCTTAGTCGAGGGCAGCCCT